ACTGATGGAGTTATATACACGAGCTATTTAACAGTGTTAAAAGGAAAAGCCGCTTTTAATATTTTCAGTCCCTGCTACAGTACGCTGACATGAAATAGCCTCTAAAACTGTGCTTTGAATGCACAGTCCCACCAATTAAAATAACCCTCCCTTCCCTGTTTAGGTACCCCCCCCGCCCATTAGTCAACTGAAGCTTCAGATGACGAAAAGAAGAAGAAGAAGAGGCTGAATTTCTATCCCACCCTTCACTACCCAAAACAGTCTCAGAGCAGCTTAAAATCTGCATTCCCTTCCCCACAACAGATACCCTGTGAAGTAGCTGGGGCTGAGAGAGCACTCTCGAGAACTGCCCTTGAGATAACAGCTTTGAAAGAACTTGACCCAAGGTCACACCAGCAGCTGCATGTGGAGGAATGGGGAATTAAACCCGGTTCTCCCAGATTAGAGTCTGTGCTCCTAACCACTACACCAAACTGGCCAAACTGGAACCAATTAAAGTCTGCAGACTTTAAAATTATTATATAATTCTTAAATATGTCTTTACATGGATCCATTGGTCATCAATTTCTAAAGATGAGGAAGAACTTCCTGACAGTTAGAGTAGTTCCTCAGTGGAACAGGCTTCCTTGGGAGGTGGTGGACTCTCCTTCTTTGGAGGTTTTTAAACAGAGGCTCGATGGCCATCTGACAGCAATGCAGATTCCGTGAACTTGGGCAGATCATGAAAGAGAGGGCTGCCTCAGTGCTTGTGGCCCTTTCTTACATGCCCAAGGAAATGCTGATTGCCGCTTTGGGGGCCAAGAAGCAATTTTTCTCCAGGCCACTTTGGCTGGAGATCCTGGAGGGTTTTTTTTGCCATCTTCTGGGCACGGAACAGGGGGTCACTGGGGGCGTGGGGGGGGGAGGGGTTTTTGAATTTCCTGCATGGGGCAGGGGGTTGGACCAGATGGCCGGGGAGGTCCCTTCCAATTCTGTGTTTCTGTGATTCTATGACAATTGGCTAAAACAGCACAGTAGATTGACTTCAGAAATGCAACCGGTCGACAGCAGGAGCCCGAGAACAGCCTGCTTACCTGACAGAGTTAATAAGCTTGGCGGCTTCGTCCTCGGGTCTCTCGACATGGTACCCATTGGGGATGTTTTTCAAGTACGCCCGGCTGAGCACGTTCTCCGAGCGGCTGCTGGTGATGGAGTGCTTCAGCGGGCTCCCAAAATCGCCGTCGGTGGCCTTGGCCATGGCATCGTCCTGCCTGTCGATGGCCACGGGCTCCTCCAGAGCTTCCTTCCGCTGAGCGGCGAGCTTCTGCTCCGAAAGTTCAGAGCTTTCCTTAGTCCTTTGCTGAATGAGAGGGGTGAGCGGCGCTTCGAAGCTGACACAGCTGTCGGTCTCGTCTGTCAGTGAGAGCACGTCCAAGGAGTCCATGCTGCTGTAGTAGGTGCCCTTCATGAGGTCAGACTCCACGATTTTCTCAAAGGTAGAGCTGAATCCATCCCTGATGTCCTTAAAGGCAAAATCTTCCCTGTCATCATCAAGGCCCCTTAGCTGGGCTTCTGCAATAGCAAAGCTGAAACAGAAGGACACAACAGGAGTGTAG